ACTTTTTTCTGGTTCCCTGTGTAGAACTTGTAATGCTAACTACTCTTGCCTTTACTTCTCCTTTGCATTGAATTGTTTTTGCATTTATTGATTTCATGCTTTTAGATTGTCCTGTCTGCCTCTGCTAGACTGTAAGCTCTTTGAAGTAGAGACGTGGACAGCATCTCTCCTCTCTCTCCCCTTCCCCACCATTCCTTCTCATCCCTTTCCCAATTCCACTTCAGCTCTCCACACTTCCTTTTTTCAGCCCTTTTCCTCCATTCTTCCTGTTCTTCCTTCTGCTTGATGATCTCATTCAGAGCAGTGCTGTTTCTGCTTGCCAGGCTCACACGCTATTATTTATTTAGATCTCTTACATGAAAGCAGGTATTTTTGTTTCTTTGTTTGTTTTTATTTTGACAGAGTCTCCCCTGTAGCCCCAGCTGGCCTGGAACTCCCTGTGTAGACCAGGCTGGCCTCAATTTCATCTGCCTGCCTTGGCCTTCCAAGTGCTAGAACTAAAGGTGTGAGGCACCCTAATAGGTGAGGGAGCAGTTTTCAAAGTCAGATGCCTCTTAGACCTTCAGGCGAGTCACATGAAAGGGCTAGTACAATATAATGGTGGTGCCAGTTTGAGTGCAGTTCGCAAGCCTCTCATTAAAGGGTTAGCAATTTAATGAATATGCTGTAACTGATCACTGCTGGGCCCCAGTAATGGGTTAAGGGTGCTGAGGTCTTCCTGTTGTCAAGAGAAATCAGAAGTAGGTTTTAAAATATTGCAACTAGTTCATTAAAAACAAAACAATTGCAAAACCAAACAAAACATGTCTTTGAGCTGGACTGAGTCCATGGGCTGCCTGTTTGTGACCCCCTGCTCTGGAATGATTCTCCAAGCACTGCTGTGGTGTGGAACAGGATGTACTGTAAAGAGGTATTATCTTTGATTAGACATAAAGCCAGGCATCAGAGTTTCACTTGATCAGTGCATCATCACAGATCAAAGGGCTTTCTTTAATTTTTAATAAGAAAAGGTAGAGAATTAACCTAGATGTACTAAGAAGACTTAACTTGGGCAGTTGCATTCCTGTGCCAATTGTTTCCTGCAAGTATCTTTGGCAAGAGCTGTAGAATTGTGTAGGACTGTGAAGGTTTTCTGTTTTGACATGTTTTCTGCTAAGTTTCCCTTCTAGAGAAGCAGTATACAAATCTTGAGTGAATAGATACCTTTTCTTAGCTTACCCATCAGCTTTTATTGGCAGTTTTTTTACAGATCTTTGAAAATCTAGTCAATGTTTTTTCTGCTAATGGGTGGACGGTGACATGATGTCCACCATAGCAAGCTCAGGAACTCTTACATAAAGGCCCTATGGAGCAGTTATGTGCGCTGTGTGAAACAGGTTTATCAACTGGGCTAGTTAATGTTTGGATCTTCAGTACTTGATGGTAGGATTGGGCCCACAGTGGTGAGAAGTTGAAACTGGGACACAGATGATGCTGAGAAACCAGTATGAAAAAGAAATGCTCTAATGGGCTGGAGAGATGACTCAGTAGTTAAGAGCACTGGCTGTTCTTACAGAGACCCGGTTTCGAATCCCAGCACCCATATGGTGGTTAACAACCATCCGTAACTCCAGTTCCAAGTGATCTGAAGCCCTCTTCTGTCCTCTATGGGCATTGAACAACACAAGTGCAGGCATAGCACTTATACACATAAAATAAATAGATGAATAAAAAGAAATGCTCTAACTTTCCAGCTACCAAGGGCAGGGCTCTTATGTTTGTCTGTGCTTGGAGATTGCTTTTTCTACTTTCATGTCATTGCTGCAGGCAATGGAGTGTGTAGGTGTGTTAAAAGCTGAGGCTTTATTCCATTTCTCTGTCTGTCGTAGCATCCAGTAGCTGTACTGTTCATTCATCCAATACCAAGAAGGGAAGTTCTGAGTCATTTGGAGACTTCCCTCCATTTTCTTTCCATTCCCCAAGTAAAAATCTTTCTACCTTTAGCCTTTCATGGCACATATATCATGCTTTTTGCACAGTTTGAAAGAAAGAAGTGTGTAGATGTCTTCTTGGTTCTAGGACATGAACACAGAGGCTGTGGAACTTAGGAGTCCTCATTTCCTGATGATGATCTGCTACGCTGTGGTAGAGGCAGTCGGATTGAAATGGTGAACAGAGCGTAGAGACCTCACTTTATCTAAAATCTTCTAGAAAGAATATATAGTTCACAAGTAAATTTTGTTTGCTTCAGGCTTCTTATGGAGTACACTGCTTGAAGCAGTTTAGTGTTAAACCCTTTTCACTTTAAGTATTGGGTTATATTTGAGTTTCTTCACAGATGATATTTCATCTGTAGCCATTTGTGGTTGGATTTTAGACCTGCCATAAGTAGATGCTGTCTTTAAAATAAAGACAAATGTTTGTTGCACACTCAACATTTGCCCTTTACTATTCTTGTAAGCAGTTTTTAAAATACCATTTTCTTGTAGATTGATAATTTTGGGGTTTGATGCCTTTGAAAATTAATAAGCTAGAAGTGGAGGGCATCTTCTTGCTTTCTGATCCCTTTTGTAATATATGTATTCTCAGCATGCCATTATAGCTGTTGGTTAGCAGAAGCTCTAGCCTGGCTATTAGTAGTTGTACTGATGCAGCTTCTGGAAAGTTTGGAAGCTTGAATTGTAACTTTCTTAACTATTGTTTCTGATAAAGTAATTTATATGGTGAAAAAAAGTCAGAGTGAGCCTTTAATCCCAGTACTTGGGAGGCAGAGGCAGGCAGATCTCTGTGAGTTTGAGGCCAGCTTGGTCTACATAGTGAGTTCTAGACCAGTCAGGGATACGTAGTGAGACTGTCTCAGAAACCCAAAATAACCCTCAAAAACAAACAACAGCAAAATCGGAAAGAAAGAATGGGGGGAAAGGCCATACCGAATACCTTGTCTCATGTTTGGTAACTACTTCATATGGTTCTAGTATATGTATTTTGGTGTCAGGAAGGTAGAATTCAAAACTCTATAGTACTAATTACCTTAATGTGTTAGCTACTGTCAGTGACAAAAACCAAAACCAACCAACCAACCAGACAAACAAGACTGTTAAGAGCTTATATTCTGAATCCCTTGAACTGATATCGTGATGAAAACCTTGAGAGTCCTGGTGCGTGGCCTTCTGAGGTCAGTGTCTTTGTGTGTAGTTCTAATACCTGTGTTGTTGTTGTTCTAATTCCCTATATTATTTTCAATTCTATTACATGTAACTGCAGGGCTTAGGTTTTTGTAGCCTTCTGGAGAGTAAGCCTCTCTTTAGTTATATATTTAAACACACTTGCGTGATGCAGAGCCTTTGTGGCCTTACTCTGCCAGCTTTATACATGTTGAAGTCTTTGACTTCACCACTCTTCACCACTCTGTGCTTTGCCAGTGTCTCTTTAAATAAGTTACTCAGTTTCTCAGTAGCTTCATATTAAAACGAAGCGGGAGACCAAGAAAGGAAAAGAAAACATGACATTTCTGCTCTATTTAGACTTTCTGTGGCTGTCAGGTTATGAGGTCTCTTAGTACTTTCTTCTTGGTGTGTCTTTTCTTTTTGAATGTATTTTCTCTATCTACATTTTTCTCTCCCCTTGAATGTTTATAGTTCAGATTTTCCATTCACCAGAAACTGTAGCATGTCACTATGATGGTGCTATGGAAAGCACATGAACTTTAGAATCAGAGCGACTTGGATTCTCTGCCAGTTCCTAGCTCCTGGACTTCAGGCAAGCTCCTGACCTCAGGCTTAGGTCCCACACTTGCCAAATGGGGTGAATATGCACATGTGTGGAATTCTCATGAGAAAGAAAGGAGGAAACATAGGTAGAATGTTTTGGCTAGTGTCTACATACAGTTCACACTGAGAAGGTCTAGTTTCCTTCACATTTCTGAGTGATGTTTGTATTTTCTGCTTTCCATCATCAGTAATTGGTATTATTTATTATCATCAATCCATGGTCATGTTTTTTCACATTTGTTGTCATCCACAAATAACTGGTTTATTTATTTACTTCTTTTGATATACATTAGTAAAGATTCTAAGTAATGCTTAGTTAATACCCATTCTGAAAATTCTTGATTCATTGCTGTTTATGTTATGTTCCAGTTTCATTTTTATGGTTTTCAGTTTTTGTCAATATATTAAATTGTTATATCATGGCACTAATTCACCTGGCTGGAAATGTAGAATAAAGATCTTATGAAATTGACCCAAATGCTTCCCTAAAATCCAAAGACATTAAAGCTATCTTATATCTGCTATAGGTCTCATTTTAAAAGATAATTTTGTCCTAAAACTTTTAAAGCACATTTTAAATAAATAAAGCAATCTTCACGCTATTATTCCTCCTGAGCCCATTAAACTCTCAATGCTCATGGATTCTTTAATATTTGTCCCATTATTTTGCTAGGCATCTGAGTTAGACTTACCAGGCAATAACCAGTAGGAGCATACTTCTTACATTTTTGAAGACTGGTACCTCACTTGCTTTTTTCTAGTCCTCTGGTATCTCCTCAGTGCTTCATGATTTTTCAGACATAATTACAAGTGGTTTGGTAAGTTTGTTGTTTTGTTTTGCTTTTTAAAGCCAGTCCCCTTAATAACAAGATGCATGTCTCTCAGACCTGCTGACTTATATCCCAAATTCTAGACATTTCATCTCTCTTACTTTACTTTTTTTTTTTTTTTTTACCCTGATTTCAAAGTGTGCTTTTGGTTACCATGATATTTAAATTTTTTAGAAGTCAGTTTTTGGTCCATTCTGCCCTGATTTATTGATGTGTTATTTTTATTTCTTTGATTGATAGCTTTATGCTGTACTCTTCCACCTTTTACCTTGTATTTTCTAGCTAGAAGCCACAGCGTGTGTAGGTAGCGGTCTCTATGGTTCACACCTTTACTGTAGAACTTGAAGCTTTGTGTGGACACTGGGTGCTCTTCCTCACATTTGTTCTCTGTCACTCGTTTTCTGCCCCTTGATTGTGGTGCCTTGGAGCATTTTTTTCAGAGTCTACGTTTTGTCAGGCTCTCCTTATTGACACTTGGCCAGTCTCCTCTAGGCTGAGAATAAATTCTCTGAGTTCCCACCTGCTCCCTGCTGTTGAGTGGGGACACAGGGTCCTTTGTCTTGGCAGTTGCACTCAAGGTCTGTTCTTCCTCGGAGGTGATGCTTAGTATGTCAGCGTTTCTTCTCAGCAGATTCTGAATCAAAAGCTGTGTTCACCATCATTTAACGTCTTTGATGCATGTTGCATAGCAGAAGTCTTAGTAATTTGTCATTTCAAAATTTATCTGGGCAGCTTAGAGTTTAAATCATATGTCATGTAGCCAGAGGCAATGGCCTCTAGGTTTAGAGGAGCCTTATTTCTCTACTGCAGCCAGTGAACCCATTGGAATATGTAATTTATTATATTTACCATTCAGAGAATGTAGTTGATGTGCCCAAAATTAAAACCACAGAATGGCTGTTTTGCCTTTAAAACTTTTTTTTCTTTTCCAGTATTAGCAATTGAACCTAGGGCCTTGTGAATGCTAGGCAAGCACTTTACCATCCCTGGTCCTGCCTTTGATTTTGACATTTGTGATGGCTTTACAAATCACTCTGATTATTTTGTGTGATTCTTTTTTCTTTGCTTTTAATCTCTTTGTGTGCCTCCTTGGCTCTCTTGCCTCTTGGCACACTCTTCTCTCTCTCTCTCTCTCTCTCTCTCTCTCTCTCTCTCTCACTCTCACTCTCCCTCTCTCTCTCTCTCACTTGTGTCTGTAATTCTAGTTAATCCCTTTTATCAACCTTCCAAACACCTGACCTGAATTCTTGCCTGCCATCCCTTATCCTCCAGTGCTCTACATAGAAGCATACAATAGCTAGAATTGGGACTGAGTAGGAAGGAACGGTTGTGAGTGCACACAGGAATGTGGGAGACAGCTCTTTGAAAGTCATTGGCAGAGAAGGTTAAGAGTTTTGGGGTACTAATTCATTGTTTACAGGGATGACATCAAGTTAGCACTGTGGAGAAAGGCTCCACAACAACATTCCAATGTTTAGAAACCAGTGATACTAAAAACCATTTTTAAAAAAGGAAAATTGGAAATCCTTATTAGACATTACTCATAGTGACTTGACCTGTGCTCCCAGAAATACAGCCATGCGTTCCTTAAAACTATCTTAGGTCATAACCACTCCTTCAACATCTTAAAAAATATTTTATTTATTATTTTTATTTTATGTGTGTATTGCCTGCAGGTAAGTGCACCCATGTCATGCAATGCCTGTAGAGGACAGAAGAGGCCTTTGGATCCCCTGGAACTGGAGTTACAGACAGTTGTTAGTTGCCATGTGGGTGCTGGGATTCGAACCCTGGTCTTCTGCAAGAACAACCAGTGTTCTTAAGCGCTGAGCCATCTCTCCAGCCCCTCTTTCAACATTTTATTAATCTAGGGGCTGGAGAGATGGCTCAACAGTTAAGGCACTGGCTGCTCTTGCAGAGGATCTGGGTTCGGTTCCCAGCACCTACATGGCAGCTTAACAACTGTCTGTAATTCCAGTTCCAGGGGAATCCAACGCCCTCTTCTGACCTCTTTGGACATTGCACGACATGAGTGCACTTAAATGCTTGCTGGCAATATGCACATAAAATAATAATAAAATATTAAAAACATGTTATTACTCTAATACAGATTTTAGTTCATCAGTACTTTATATAGCTTTCTTTTGATTCTAAACATCTAATAAAAGTCTTCATTTTCATTGAATCATTTGAGTAACACTCCTCTCATCGTATTATTTAAGATGACTTTAAAGTGGCTTCACACCCAATGTGGTAGCGCATGTCTGTAGTCCCAGTGCTCAGGAGGCTCAGGCAGGAGAATCACAAGTTTCAGGTCAGCCTGAGATGCTGGGAAATTTCAGAGAAATGTAGGACTGGGGATGTAGCTCAGTGCTAGATAACTTGCTGGCGTGCTCAAAGGCCCTGTGTTCCAGCCATTACCCCCCCCCCCAATATATTAAAAAAATAAAATACCCTTAAACAGCATCAGGTAGGAAAGCTGCTTGATTTTGGAAGATTTATTGCCAGTGACTCTGTGATCAGAATTACACTCACACATGTGAACTAGATAAGATTGTTTGCTTGTTTGCTTGCTTTCCCGCTTTCCCAAACAGTAAGTAGTACGGGATCATGAGAAATGTCCTCAAACCATTCATTCAGTATTTTGATTTTTCTATACTAAATAATCATTACACTTTCAAAGATTTAAGAAAATGATTATATTCCTTCCTCTATCTTTGATCTTTCTCTCTTTCCCCCTCTCTATTATAGTATACCACTATTTAATACATTCTCAGATATGGAAGGGAATTAAAATATTCCCCCAAATCCTTTTGTAGCTTTTAATTCTAAATATGTCCGAGATGTATGCCAACACATTCATTTACTTATTTACCACATATTTGTTGATCTGCTGCTCTAGATGTTGAAGACACCACAGTAAAAGTTAATCAGAAGCCTCTCCCTTTACATAGGCTTATGTCTATTGATTTCGTATTTTTTATTATATAAGTATCTAAGAAGTTTTTGCCAGTGAAAATCTTGTTATAACCCTGTGCTAGCTTTGAGATGACTATGTGCTCAGTCTCCCTTGTGTCCACCAGTAAACCATTTATGGTTTGTACATGTATTATGTATCAGTCTGTTTTAATAGTTATAATATTCCATAGACTGGGTGACTTAAACAACGGAAAATTTGTTTCTCACAGTTCTGGAGGATGAGAATTCTCAGTTTCCAGCAACGTAGATTTCCTTCTGAAGCCTTTTTTTTTTTTTTTTGTAGTGGCTGGCATTTCATTGCACACTTACACAACATCTCCTTTTTGCACACACTGGGGAGAGCATGTGGGAGTGAGCAAGCTCTCTGACACCAATTCCATTAGACTAAGGCCCCACTGTTATGACCTCATCTAATCTTAGTTATCTCCCAAAGCTCCCATTCCAGATGCCATCACACTGGGGGTTAGGGCCTCAACATGGATTTTGGAGATACCCCAGGGTAGCCCAAGCATAAAGACAGCAGTGGCTGCTAACTGTTGGCCTGTTTCTTCCCGATGGAAGATCCTTCCAAAAATCTAGAAAGATAATTAATGTCTATAGTCCTTGGATTATTTCTCGTATTTTCTGCATGGCATTTCTGTGTGTCATTTTTATCAGTCATTTCATCACCTTCAGTAGTAGCACATTTTCTTGCTTCAAACCATCGGGCTTCTCTTGACACCTTTCTTTGTCTCTGTTCTTGTGTCATCAAAATCACTTAAAGCATTGCACTCAGACCGTCTCCCTGCTCATGATGCAGAAGCTGAAGTAGCTCAGATCGTCTGTTGGGACTGTGATGGCCATGACCCCGGGTTGCCTCCTTGTAGGACAAGCATTCAGCTGTACTCCAGTCCTGCTGTCTTTCAGCCACAGTGCTGCCTGACTTGTAGTGTCTTCATCGGAGCTCTCTTTCCCCTTACTGATGACTCTTCTCGGTATGTCCTCCAGTTCTAAAACGTCCCATAGCCCAGCCTTTTCTTTTTGGCATGAGAGAACACTGTTTAGTTTCATGTCTCCCAACTCCTTTCCCAGGCCTGAAGAGAATGTAATTACTTACTAGAATAAATACATATTTACTCTTCTATCAGGCTATCTTCAAGTTTTGCCCTCTGCCCTTAAACTTAGTTGGATATACTTTGAAACTAAGACCAGAAGTATGTGCCAGCTTAGAAGCTGAGCATCTTTTTTTTTTCTATTTCTCCCTCCTCCTTAGTGTTTTTCTCCTATTTTCTCTCCCTGTCCCCTTTTTGTCTTTTTGAGTCAGAGTCTCCCTATAGCCCCAGCTGTCCTGGAACCTGCTATGTAGACCAGGCTGGCCTTGAACTCACAGAGATCAGCCTGCCTCTGCCTCCAAGTGCTGGCATTAAAGGTGTGTGCACCACCATGCCTGGCTCTGTTTCTCTTCTCTTGGCTTTGAATTTACTAGGTTGTATCTGCTTCCCAGGGTTCTGGGCTAAGAAATTTATTGCAGAAATTGTGCTGTAGATTCAAGCTTACCCAGGTTATGAGATAATGTTGAGGGAGTTAGCAGAGGGAAAGAGGTCAGAAACTTTTCTTCCTCTCAAACTTGCTTTTATTTTCTTCCTCTTAGCGTTCCCGTCCACTCTCTGCCAGTGATGCAGAAATGAAAAACCTTGTGGCCTCAGCCCGGGAGAAGGTACCGGGGAAGTTAGGCGGTTCTGTGCTTGGTCTGTCCATGGAGGAGGTAAGGATCATTTCATTTCAGGCTTTTGTGGGTTCACACGGGGCTCAGGGAAAATTAGGGGAGTGATTCATAATGTTCATGACAAACTCATGTCTTGCCCTGGAAAGAGAATCCAGATGGGAGAAATGTCTCTTTAGAAAACATATTAAATGTTACTAATTTTTTCCTGCTTGCCTTTGTTGGTCTCTTTGGCCATAACTCTGCCTTTGTCCTATAGCAACATGGATTTCAGGTTTCAAAGAGGGTACTCTTCTATTTTACTTATTCTTTTTTTCCTCCACCTAGATCAAAGTTTTGCGGAGGGTAAAGGAAGAGAATGATCGGAGAGGAGGATTTATTCGCATATTTCCTACATCTGAGACGTGGGAAATATATGGGTGAGGTGACTGCCCTTTTTTTCATTTTTAAGCTATCCTTCAGGTCCATAGAATTAGCTTAATTATGACTCATTGTCATTATGGCTTCCAGTGTGGGGCTTTTCTTATTCTGTTATTTAAAAATACTAAGAAATCCATAAACCAGGTATGGTGGTACATGGCCTGTAATTCCCAGAACTTAGGAGGTAGAGGCTGAAGGAACAGGGTCATCCTTATCTATCTACACAGTGAATTAGAGCACAGCCTGGGCTACATGAGACTATCTTCAAAGAGAGGAAGACAAATGTCCAAATATTAATAAACCCAAGAACTTGGCTATCAATTTAGTCTACCTGCATATTATTCCCTCCCCAATCCCCACTTTTAATTTCCTACCTCCCTCCTAACGACTCCATTCTTGATTTTATGTTTATCATTACCTTGATTTGAAAACGTGTACTATCATCACTCTAT